GCCTCCTTGGGAAAGGAATCCAAGAGAGAAAACCCATACCTTACTGTAGAATTAAATCTACGAAGATGACCCTGTACTTTGCATGAAAAGCTTGAAGAATTGCCTTGAAAACACCTAAGGAAAATGAAAGTTTTTCTATTTCTTACGTTTGTTCAGTGTTTTTGAGTTTCAATGTGAGTCTAAGTCTTAGAAACTGAATATTGACTAATTCAACTTAGTGTAATTAACTTAATTAAATAAATCAATTATCTAATTACCGAATTGCGTCTCCTAAATTGACTAATAATATGAGAGCATTTGACTTAGCCAAATCTGAAAATTTTGTAATGGTTAGGGTGAGACCATGATTTTAATTCAATAATTAAGTTGCTAATTTAATTAATTAAGTTTCTACTTTAATTAATTAAGCGACCAAGGATAATTATAAAAGTACCCCTAAGTCATAAGGACCATAACAAACCCCTTTAGACCATCCTAGGTTAGGTTCTAGGATGTTTCTTTAGTTAGTTACTCGGCTAGTGTCACCCGGTTAGGTCTTAGGATTTTAGGTACACTAGTTAGCTTTTTTTAGTTAGTTGTAGGTGAGTTAGTTAGTTAGGTAAGTTAGTTAGAGCCTAGGATTGGCTAGGAAGCTAGGACCCACGTTGCTTGACCCGTACGCGCGCTTGCCCCCTTACCGCCCTAACCAAATTCGGTTGGGCTTCTCTCTTGGTCTCTTGGCCGGTAAGAACACGTGTTGCTGCATATTTCTTGTCAAAGGACCCTCACTATATCCTTGGGTACTACTTAATCTACATAATCATTTTAAATGATCATGTGCCATGGTACCTAGGCTTAACACTTAGATGCCTCGTATCTTATGTGCTAAGAATTCAATGCTATTAGCTTAGGGTCTTCGTTGCAGCTACTATTCCTAAACAAGCTTGGATTGGATCATTTGAACATTAAAGTATATCTTAAGTTACTTGTTAATATATACATAGAAATAACACCCTTACGCCAATATTCTCAAACATGCCCAATATTGGGATGCCTATATACCCCAATACATATTCTTATAACCTAATAGACACCTTACTAGATAAACACATTTTCTGGAATGTTACAATGCTACTCCCATTTATTTAGGTAGTTAACTAGGTATGTATGAATTTCTGTAAATATTGGATAGCTCAAAATTGAACATGCAAACTTAGAATGCAACAATTAATCTAGTTATTATGCATATATAATGGATGCATGTATATCTAAAGTAACTGAAATATCTTACCTAGCATGTGTAATTCAAGTACTAAAGAAATAAATAGCTAGGGTTCTGAAATTCATGCGATTAACTAAGTAATAACATGGATACCTTATTTGGAAAATATAATTAATTAATTAATGAAGTTCTGTTGAATTTCTATAAACCCTTGGTCTTTTCATGATATGGGAATCAAGAATCTTACTGATAACTAGGGATACAACGGGTGAAAGGAACCCACTAGTGAAATCTCAGATACCTAGTGATGAAATTTAGAGAGAAATATTCAGATTTCGGGGCTGGAACTGTGTTGAATTATTGGATTCTTGACCTTTTTCTCCTTTCTTGCTTCTAATTTTCTAAAATTTTATTAACAATTTGACTAAGATAAGTTTTAGTTATGTTTCAATGCTTAAACTGACTAAAATCTGGTAAATTTAGGGTTAAAATGACATATCTTAAGGTTTAAACAAAGTGGGAAAAGACTAAAAGACCCCTGAGTTAAGTGATGTCGGATCAACCAATGACTTGGACTGACGGTCCATCGTTCAATTGACTTATGTTGAGACCCAGAAAGGTTCTGGGAGAGTTTCTAGACTAACATTGAATTGGACTTCTATGTAAGGAGTTACAAAAGAAAGAGTAGCCCCTGGATCTAACAACATGAATGTCAACGTGAATGTCAATATAAATGTGAACGTGAACGTGAATGTGAATGTTAACATCAATATTAACGTCTACTTGAATGTCAATGTTAACATCAACGTTAATGTCGACGTGAATGTGAACATCAAAATCAACATCAATATTAACGTTAATGTCAAGGTCAACCTGAACGTGAACTTCAACGTGAATGTCAATGTGAACTTTATCATGAATGTGAACGTGAACGTGAACGCTAATGTGAACGTCAACGTAAATCTCAACATCAATATCAACATCAACATTAACATCAAAATCAACGTCAATGTTAATGTAAGCGTCAATGTTAATGTCAACCTAAACGTCAACATGAATGTGAACGTTAATCTTAATGTGAACGTGAATGTGAATGTCAAAATGAACGTCAAGTTGAACATTAACTTGATCTTCAATGTGAATGTGAACATCAACATTAATGTCAACATCAACCTAAACATATGCATCAATGTAAATATCAACGTGACTGTCAGTATGAACGTCAACATGAACATCAACGTCAATTTGAATGCAACATGAATGTCAATGTTAATGTTAATGTGAACGTCAACATGAACATGAACATGAACATAAACGTCAAAGTTAACGACAACGTGAATGTTAATGTACACTTCAGTGAGAACATCAACATAAACATTAGCATGAATATCATTATAAACGTCAATAGACGTGAATTTCAACGTGAACATTAACGTCAATGTGAATATAAACTTTAACCTGAATCTGAATGTGAATGTGAATGAGAACGTCAACGTGAACATGAACGTCAACATCAACATCAACATCAACGTCAACATCAAAGTAAGTGTCATTGAGAATGTATACATGAATGTAAACTTCGATGTTAATATGAACGTTAACGTCAATGTCAATGTCAACGTTAATGTGATAGTCAATGTGAACGTTAACATCGACGTGAATGTCAACATAAATGTGAACTTGAATGTGAAGGTAAATGTTAACTTAAACGTTACTGTTGACGTGAATCTCAATGTTTATGTCAGCATCAACGTTAATGTGAATGTGAACGTCAATGTCAATATCAACATGAACACAATGTCAATGTGAACGTTTATGTCAACTTTAATGTAGATTGCAATGTGAACGTCAATGTCAACATTAACGTGAACGTGCACATGAACGTCAATATAAATGTCAACGTGAACGTGAAAATCAACATGAATGTTAACATCAACGTGAATGTCTACGCAAATGTCAAAGTGAATGTCAACGTTCACATGAATGTGAATGTTAACATGAACGTGAACTTCAACATAAATATAAACTTGAATGTGAATATGAATGTCAACGTGAATGTGAACGTCAATGTCAACGTCAATGTAAATTTGAAAATCAAAATGAACATCAACCTGAACGTGAATGTGAATGTGAACGTCAATGTTAACATAAATGTTAACGTCTACGTGAATGTGAACTTTAACATCCACATATATGTCGAAATAAACATAAATATCAACATCAATATCAATGTAAACAACAACGTGAACGTCAACGTTAACGTGAATATGAATGTAAACATGAACATCAACATCAACGTGAATGAGAACATGAACTTAAGCGTCAACGTCAATGTTAATAGGAACGTCAACCTAAAAAGAATGTGAAATCAACGTTAACATGAACGTCAACATGAATGTGAATTTCAATGTAAACGTGAACGTGAACATCAACATCAATGTTAATGTCAATGTAACCGTCAACATCAATATGATCGTCACAATGAACATAAATGTGAACGTGATCGTAATCCTCAATGCAAACGTGGATTCAACGTCCGCATCAAGGTAAACGTCAACATAATCGTGAACATCAACATAAAGATGAACGTCAACATAAACTAGAACGTGAACGTCAATATGCACATCAACGTACACATAAACATCAATATCAATGTAAATGACAACATCCACGTCAACATATATGTAATCATCAACATCAACATCAACATTAACGTAAGCGTCAACGTGAACGTGAATGCCATCTTCATTGTCAACATGAACATGAACGTCATTGTCAATGTGAACGTCAACGTGATGTCAACAGAAATGTTAACTTCAATGTAATATCAACATCAACGTGGATGTCAATGTAAATGTGAACATGAGCGTCAACATGAACATAAACGTTAAAGTTAATTTGAATGTCAATGTATATGTCAGCGTAAATGTTAATGTGAACGTCAATGTGAAAATCAACCGTTAACATTTACGTGAACGTGAACATCAATGTAAAGGTAAAATTGAATGTAAATGTCAACATCAACGTGAACGTCAATGTCTATGTGAACGTCAATGTTAAAGTCAACATAAACATAAGCTTGAACGTCTATGTAACCAATAAAATATATGTCAATATATACATGAACGTCTACGTTAACATAAACATGAACATCAATGTCAAAGTCAACATCAATATAAATATCAACATCAAAGTGAACATCAATATTAACTTCCATGTAAATGTCAATATGAACATGCGCGTGAACATCAACGTGAACATCTATGTTAACGTCAACGTGAATATAAATGTCAACGTAAACTTTAATATCAATGTGAACATCAATGTAAACATCAGCGTAAACGTCAGTGTTAATGTCAACTTCAATGTAAATATGAACATCAACATCAATGTCAATTTTAACGTCAACGTCAACATCAACTTTAACGCTAACATTAACATCGACATGAAAAGAAACATGAACGTCACCGTAAAAATCAATGTGAACATAAACGTGAATATGCACATAAAAGTAAGCGTGACTGTCTACATGAAACTCAATGTGAACGTCAACGTAAAGATTAAATTGAATATGAACGTGAATGTCAACATGTATGTGAATGTCGATGTCGATGTCAACGTAAACTTGAACATCAACGTGAACGTTAATGTGAATGTCAACATAAACTTAAACATCAACATCAATATCATCATCAACATCAACAATAACGTCAAGATTAAAATCAACATCAATGTCAATGTAAATATCAGTGTGAATGTCAACCTTAACGTCAACATGAACATAAAATTCAATGTGACAATGAACGTTAACGTGAAGGTGAACGTGAATGTTAACGTGAACATGAACATCAACTTGAATGTCAACTTGAATGTGAATTTCAATTTAAACATCTGCATGAATGTCAATATCTATGTGAATGTAACTTTCAATGTAAACGTCAATGTTAACATGAACGTCAACATCAAAGTACATAAGAATGTTAACATGAACATCAACATGAATGTCAATGTTAACGTGAATGTGCATGTAAACATGAACGTCAACATTAACAACAAAGTGAATGTTAATGTAAACATCAGTATGAACGTCAACTTAAGTGTTAGCATGAACGTCAACGTAAATGTCAATATGGACATCAACGTGAACGTCAACGTAAATGTCAACATGAATGTGAAAGTCAACGTGAACATGAATGTCAACATGAATGTGAAAGTCAACGTGAACATGAATGTCAACGTGATCCTTAACGTCAACCTTAACATCAACGTCAAAGTCAAAATCAACGTATATGTAAATGTCAACGTGATTGTGAACTTTGATGTCAATATGAACATCAATCTCAATGTCAACGTAATTGTGAACATTAACGGCAATGTCAATATTAACGTGAACGTCAATGTAAATGTGAACGTGAACGTGAATTGTAACTTAAACATTGACGTAAACATGAATATCAATGTTTATGTAAACTAATCTTTAACGTGAACGTGAAAGTCAATGTCAACGTCAACATGAACTGGAACATCAATGTCAATGTCACAAATCGAAAATGACTATGCTAAGTAAAGCCTAAACGTACCTAGAATGCCTAGGTTAGACCGGATTCACACGGATTGATGCGCGTGGAACCACACATCTGAACCCATTTACCACTCAAGCCAACAAACTTGGTGAGTTAGTTGATCTAGGTAGGGTTGGCTCCAGCCATGTTTGGTACCGAAATACTAGGATTCACCTTGATGAGTCTTAATCGGACTTAGAGGGTTAGTCTTAGGTTTGAAGGGTTCTAGGAGTATAAAGGTTATTTTGGGGCTAGGGGTAGTATGGTAATTACACTAGGCTTACATTTAATTAATTAATTAAGGTATTAATTAGTCAAAATGGGTAAAATGTTAGTGGTCAAACCCGAGTTTGACCGGACCTCCACAACTCGGGTTCGAGCCGAGTTGGAAACATAATGAGGCACGAATTAAAGGATTAAAAATTAGAGAAAATAAGGAGGGGAATTATAATAACTTAATATATAATTATAATCTGATTTTTATAATTAAAATTTTGTTGAATAAGTCAACAACAATTCCCACAAAAAGGGGCGAAAACTCCCACTAGGAGTGTGCTTCTTGCCCACTCTTAATTCTTTTATTTACTCCTAAAAAACGTTTTCAAACTTATCCCACACTTCAAAAATAGAATATAAGCGTAAAACTAACTATTCTAAAAGTTTTCTGGGCTGCATCCATCAAAAAACAAAAGGAAGAGTTCATACGCTTAAGTGTTTTATGTAAAGAACTTCACTTGCAAACAAGAATCAAAGATCGGAAGAAAGGTTTGTGTGTGGGCAGGGGAGTGTGGTTGTGGCTGGTTGTCAATGCTGAAAAGGTATGGGTTTTCTTATATCTTGGTCCCTTTCCCAAGAGTTCCTTAAAGTTCAGTTTAAATCTAATCAAAAAACTAAGGTTGTCCCCGTTGCATGCCCTTTTCATTAAATCTTATGAGCGAATTAACGCACGCGTTGGTATGATTTCTGGTAGATAATTTTTTGAATGATTGTGATTGTGTGCAATGTGTGTGTTCTGGACTGTTTATGAATTGTTAAGTACGTCCAAATGTTGAAAGTCATATGTGCGCCAACATGCTGATTTTCCGTAATTTGTATTGTGATGGTTCACTTTAAGAAAATGGTGAATCATGTGATATTAAATTTTGTGTGTTTAACATGCAAAAATAAATTCTGATGTTCATGAATAATAAAGTTAAAGTAAGGACCTCAATGAATTATTTAACAATATATGTAAAACAATGAATTACACGCCTAGACTAAGTGTAAGAAAGTGAATTAAAATTATATATTAATGGAACATGGGTTCATCTAGTCATTACTATGGATGAGAGGACAAAGTTGCTTCAATTTGCGGGTGAATCTCGATGACCTTAAGGTCCTATAACTAAAAGAAGCAGCCCTAAATTAAAAAAAAAATAGGGAGAGAGAGGGTATTCGAACACGGCTCATTAAAAGAAGCCTTAAAATAAAAGAAAAACAAAATAGTGAGAAGGAGGGGGCTCAAACTTGGCTCATTGGACAAGGGTGTGAGATGCATAAATCTTACACAAAAAAAAGGTTCTGCCCAAGGGGTTCGATTATGGGTCCTCTTGGCTGAAATTTGAGACACATAAAATAATAAAAAGATGAGGCCATTGGGATTCAATCCGTGATCCTCTTGACCGAATTTATGGAGACACATAGCCATTTAAATAATTAAAAATAAAGTGCTGCAAAGGGTATTCAAACATGGTTCCTCTTGGCTGCAATTGTGAGACTATAATTAAATAAAATGCAACCACTAGGGATTGAACTTGGGTCCACTAGCTGAATGTGTAAAATTCATAAGTCATACACAACATATACTTAGATTATCATGAAACACTTAGGCAAATATGAGTAACCCGAAATGGTTCTTACCATGAGTAAATGGTAAGACTAAGAAATGAACATTTACGTAATAAGGTGAGTAATTACATTATCCATGATGCTAATGAAAATGGTGAAAACATGATAAGAGGATAATATGAATTGTGAGACAAGTCTCAACCAAGCCTAAGTAAATGTTACCAAACATACTCACCTATGGGAGGGTAGAATGATGTAGAGTCAAGTCACAAGCATATTCCAAAAGAAAGTGTTAAGAATGAATTCATAGTTAATATGTAAATAAAAGAGTGACTACATGATGATAAGCTAGTGCAAGTGAGACAAGCTGCATCTACGCCTAAAAAGCAAATGTCACTAAATGCAATTTGTAAAGGTGAGTAAAGATGAAATGAAAAGATGTTAAGAAGGAATTGGGTGGCAACACAATATGAGGCTAGTTCAAGTGATACAAGTTGTACCCACGCCAATATAATGTCACCAAAAGTACTCACCTAAGAGAGTGTTGAATATTAAGAGACAAGTATCAATCACACTCTATATGTAAGTGTAAGGAAAAATCACACTTAATACCTAAACAAGATATGATAAATCATCTAATGAGCTACGACTAACTCATGCTGGAAGAAAGCTTCGATGATGTATAAGTTGAATGTAAATAGAAACTTTAAACGGAGCACCGATAGGCTAGGTATGAGTGATGATGCCTTCTTTTTGGAAGGGCGGAGTTTTACGTAATTCTCATGAGATGAGATTTTCCACCAAGGTGTATAGGTCTCCCTAAATATCCTAGTATTTATACTATGCTACCAACATAGGGAACTAGCTAGTGCTTTTCCACCTAAGCGAGCTAGGGATGTTTTGGTTTCACTTTGGCTAGTGAATTCACCTATTTTTTGTGTGGGGAAGACACCAAATTTCATAATTCTCACATGATATCTGTCGGTTAAAGTTTAAGTTCCTCAAACTATGAAAGATAATAAAATGAATTATACTGAAGATGTATGTGCAAGACAATCAGGAGGTGAAATCAGATTCAGGTAATGTCATAAGGTAATTCTTGCTCATTACACTTAATGATCCCGATGAGGGTCTTAAAGTTCATCCTAGGTATAGCTGGTGTTTACATCAGCTTACGAATGAATGAAATAAATAATGTGACGTACTTATAAATGAAAAAAGAAGACACTGTGTTTGCTAAAGAAGGCTCTCAAGTTGAGGTCCCATATGTTGAGCCCTCATTTGGGAAGTCCTAATGTTAAATCTTTGATTCCAAGGTTTTATGGTATATAAACGAATGATATGTGATATATGTATATGAATATGAAATATGTTATGTGCTTGGTTCAATATGAAAAGAATGATGATGCATGTTACTCTCATAGCATGACTTTCCTAATCGCATTTGGCAAGTCCAACTAACTTGAATTTCCATTATTCGTATTGTTAGGAGAGAGCTCTTCTTAATCATACATGTCCTTGGTGTATACTTGCATAAACTCATACTTAGTACAAATGTGTACTAATCCCATACATTATGCTATTTTAGGTGCAGGTTCTGGAGGGTGTTGAAGACATTCGCTGCAACTGTTCGGGCATCAAAGCTTTTCATCCGGACCTGGTAGGTCCTCAAGCATTTGAGGATGCCTGCCGTTATGTTTCTAGTTTAGTAATAAGTTTAGGCAAGTGGAAAATGTTCCACTAGTATTTCTTTCCTATTTTGATCAGACTTATATAATGATGCCAATTTCGCAATTCTTATTTATACTATAGTGTTATTTATTTCAATATTGAATGATCCTTTATTAGATTGTTGATACACATGAGTAATGAATTTCTTTATATGCGTATGCATACTATAATTATGAAGTTTATGTACACTATAAACAAAATAAAAAGTTTCAAATTTTCCGCTAAATTAACTAAACGAATGTAATAACGACGTAAGTAAGCTTATCTGCGACCTCTGAGAGGTCAACGACGCCAGTTTCGGCTAGGTTCTAGACCCCAATCATGAAAAATTGGCATCAGAGCATTAGGTTAAATATCTAAGACATCAGGATCATGTCAACAACGTTAAGTAGTTTCTAAGTTATGGTAGTGAAGTGCACCACTATCATGAATTAGAGACTGCATCAAACATAGGAAATATTCCTTTCTTCTAATCTTATCGTGCCTCTTGAAATTTTGATTGATTGGTGTTAAGAGCATATCTAACATAAAATATGGTGTTTCTGAAAGAGGAATACGAGGAGAAACACAGGCAGAGGGATTGGACGAGCAGCTGTGGGGGAAATCAAGTTCTTCCCCAGGTCCCAGCAGCTGGAATGGATATGCCTGTCAATCCATCTGGGTTAATAGATGGAGAAGTAAGGAATGCCTTGCTACAGATAGCATATGCCATCCGTACTCAAGCTCAAGCCACTAGAGAGGGTGTTCCTAGGAAGAATCCTCATGTTAGCACTATGTCTAGCAGGTTGAGGGACTTCAACAGAATGAACCCTAATTTTACTACAGATCCAAGACCCATAAGGATCCACAAAAGTGCGTTGATGAGGTCCACAATATCCTTTGTGCCGTGGGTGTAGACGAGGAGGTGAAGGCTGAGTTGACTGCATATCAATTCAAGGATGTGGCACAGATTTGGTACTTGATCTGGGCTAATAGCCGAGCACGTGGAGATGTTCCTATCACTTGGGATGTTCTCAAGATTGCCTTTCTGGAGAGATTCTTCCCCAGAGAGCAACGAGAAACCATGGTTGAAGGGTTCATCAACCTAAGATAGGGAGGTATGTCAGGAAAGGAGTATTCCTTGAAAATAGTTAAACTCTCAAAGTATGCTTCTTCTCTGGTGGCAAATAGCAGAGATGAAATGAGCAAGTTTGTGACTGGTGTTTCAGAGGATCAAATAGAAGATTGTCGGACAGCCATGTTTCATGATAACATGGATCTGGGAAAGTTGATGGTGCATGCCCAATAAGTGGGGGAAAGCAGAAAGGGTAGAGGTTCACGTAATTCTCATGAGATGAGACTGTCGACCAAGGTG